TCTCTCTGTGACTTGGAAGCAGAAATCAACCCTCTCCTCCTGATGTTGTGGGTCATGGTGTTTTATCACAGCAGTAGAAAGCACACTGGGATAGAAGGGCTGAGATACGAGTTGCTGGTCACCTGGATACAGGCCTCCAAAGTTCAGCAGGCCTTTGAGACCAAGAGAAACTTCCGCTGTAAATCTCTGCCAGCTCCTGACTGCTCCCCTTTCTCTCCACACCTCTACCCAGGAGCACTTCTTCTGGGAGGGATCCTGTACTCCTGGCAGTTTCCCCACTTCAATGCCCTGAGCTGGGGACTCCGTGAAGACTACTCCCGAGGAGGCTACTGCATGATGTCAGTCACCCACCCAGCGCTCTGCCGGCGCGTGGCACTGCGTCATTGCCTGGCCCTGATTGCACTGTCGACGGCTGCCCCCGTCCTAGACATCACCACGTGGGCCTTCCCCATCATCTCCCTCCCCATCAACCTGTACATTTCCTACCTCGGCTTCCGCTTCTACGTGGATGCAGACCCCCAGAGCTGGAGGAAGCTGTTCTTCTGCAGCCTGTGGCACCTGCCACTGCTCCTGTTGTTAATGCTCACTTGTAAGCAGCGGCCAGATCAGGAGGGAGACAAGGGAGAGGCCCCAAGCTGAAAGCTAGCCGGCATGTGGGGAGCGTGAGAGCAGATATGTGCAGACGAATGCATAGCACGGCCCTGTGCCAGTGGGCAGCGCATTTTGGTGATTCTGGCACGCTAAAAGAGAAATGGATGGTGTCAGCTGGTGGCAGATCATCTGGTGCTGTGTCATCACTTAACAGTCCTTTTGATATTAATATCCAAACTGCCTCCCAAATAAGAAAGGAACTGGCATAGTGAACTAATACGAAAAATAGAATGTTTCTCCTTGAAGGTTTTTATGTATCTTTCCCTCCAGCCCTGTGTTCTCTCACCCACGTGATACATATGCACATCTTCCTTCTCCCAACACACACGTACACACGTTCTCACCACCCGAAGGCCACAGTTGCCACTGGTCAAACCGGTGCATGCTTGTAAACCAGCCTCTGTAGTTGTATATCCTGAGGCTCCCGCAGGCTGCCTCAGAAGAACACATACTATAGCCCCCCTTCTCTGCCACGGAGATGGGGCCTGACTAGCTTTCTCCTACCAGTGTTCTCAACCACATATTCCTTCAAGTAACAGAACACCCAGCACAGCCTGCACATTGGCAGTAAGGATTCCAAACGGTTGCCTGCAGGATCCCAGCCAGCACCTACCATGGTCCCCACCCCCACCCTGGAAAGGCAAGGTGTCTTCATCACTCACTTTGAAGTATAGGCACGGTTTGAGCATTTCTTTATGGAAGGGTGGCACTTGACATCCCAAAACCCCCTCAGGCACTGAGCCCACCACAGTACCACTGTAGTTGTGCTGTGGCTGTCAGGATTTCTCTGGTGGCCTTCTTGGGGGCTGAATGGGAGAGAGAGCATGAGCTGGGCCAGCAGCCATTCCACACCCACTCTTACCTCTTTAATGTAAACAGCATTTCCACACGGGTGCCTCCTGAGTCCAGAAATTCGCCTCTGTGTGGTCCAGTGGTATTCAGAGAGGGCCAGTTGGGTTCCTAGTGGCCATGGGTCCAGTTCTGGGAATTCATGACCTCTGATACAAAGCGCAGTCTTGTATGTCCACAGAGAGGCCTGTTGCCTTAAAGTTGTGGAGCTTGGCAGGATGTTTGAGTTCCATGGTCTCCCAGAGTGCTGTGCCCTGTCAGGATTCCCTCAGTGTGTTTAAGCCACATAAAAACAGTTCTTGAATTTAGACTGTTCTCCCCAAAATGTGGAAAGCTTGAGCTGTGGCCCAAAGGCAGAGCACTTGCTTAGCCATGTTCTAGGGGGCTGATCTCAAGCACCCCCCCAAAAAAAGGAAAAGAAAAACTGGGGTGGGTGGGGTGGCGTCTAGAGTGACTCAGATAGTGTGCCTGGTACCTCTTTCTACCTATTGTAACGTTACCTCCTGGCTGTGTCTGGCTGTGTACTGTGGGACAGGAAATGGAGATGTCTGCAAAGGGCATCTGTGATTTGTTGCAGCCTTTCAGTCTGTAAAGTGTGTTGGTTCTCCCCCTGCTGCAATAAAAGTTACAAACAGGAATGTGTGTCCTGTTGTTACTCATCATCCCAAGCCCCACAGTTGAGCACCGGCTTCCTTCCTCCAGCAGCTAGCAGACTCAGCAGGT